AGAGGAAGGCCAAAGAGGAGATATATGGATGCAGTGAGGGAGGACATGCAGATAGTTGGAGTCAGAGTAGAAGATACAGAGAACAGGGAGAGATGGAAATCAATGATTTGCTGTGGCAACCCCTGGAAAAAAAAGGGACAAAGCCAAAAGAAAAAGAAGAAGTGACAGTACCAGCACTTTATATATTTGACTAATTTTCAGTTATTACATGGCAGAGCTTATTAACCAACACTTGTGACTAAAGTCAAGAGTATTCTTTGACTAACTTGTAGCTTCTGTCTATGGTTTTGAAATCATCTTTATCTAACAGTTAAGATTATTTTGTTTCTTTATACCTCATTACCTTTTGTGGCTATGTTTTAGCTTTAATTTATCTTCATAATTATTTTCTCCTATAGAACTCCTTTTGAAAGATTAAGCTCTGTATGTGTTGTGTCCTACAGAAGTTCTCCACTCAGCTCGTGAAGATTGACTGTACATTTTACAATGTTGTCAAACAGTTCATGTTAATACACTGTAAAGGTTTATTGTTTTTAAAATGTGTACATTGTTATGATATATTATCATTACATTAGTAGTTAAATTGGTTAAAATAATGTTGACAATAATATTTTTTATAAAGAATAATTTGTAGGATGGTATATTGTGCAGCAAAATTTGGCCTATTCTACAGTAAATATGTAAATATAACTTACTTTTCTCTTGAATGTTTCCAGAGCCAGTCAGAGAAAGTCAGAATATCCCGACCGCCGTCCGTTACACCTGGAGATGTCTATTCCACCATCAGCACACACCGGCTGGCCAACAAGGTTTTTGAGATAATTCTAATTTCCTTCGCATTCTGAACATGTTTTCATTCAAACCACCTCTTTTCTGCAAGTCATCCATCCTGTTTTGCTCTGCCCTTCAACCAGTGTGACTTGTCTATAGGCACTGCTGTGTCTTTCCAGGGATATTTAAATGACGTGCTTCTGTGTTCCTGCAATATTTGCTGTACTCTAGGATCTGTACATCTTACTGGTGTCTTAAGTTGTGATTCTCTGCTTTGGTGTGCTGCTTCACTTGTTCCTCTCTCTTTCAAACCTTTTTCCTGCTGCGCAGCCCCATAGCCATTCTTCCTCGCTGTCCTCCGTTGAGCTAGTCAGTGCTTCAGAAGACCTTCACAGATTCAGCACTGAGGTATTGTACTGGTCACCAGAGAAGCACCGGTGTCTGCAGGGCATACAGACTTCCAGATTTAGCATGAAGATGTTCACTAACCCGTCTCTCCAACTATGTTTTGCCATTTTACAGAAAATTTAGTAGACTCTTCTTTTCTTTTTTCTTTTCCTTTTGGCTTGTCCCTTTTTCAGGGGTTGCCACAGCGAATCATCGTTTTCCCATCTCTCCCTGTTCTCTGCATCTTCTCTGACCCCAAATATCTGCATGTCCTCCCTTACTGCATCCATAAATCTCCTCTTTGGCCTTCTTCTTTTTCTCCTACCTGGTAGCTCCATCTCTAGCATTCTTCTACCAATGCATCTTTAACTCTGCCACCTCCAGCTCCGCCTCCTGTCTTCTGCCTATTGCTACTGTCTCTAAACCATACGTCATGGCTGGTCTCACCACTGTCCTGTAAACCTTTCCCTTGACCTTAGCTGACACTCTTCTATCACAGATCACTCCTGACACTTTTCTCCAGCTGTTCCATCCTGCCTCCACTCTATTCTTCACCTCTCTTCCACAGTCTCCGCTGCTCTGAATAGTTTATCCTAAGTACCTAAACTCCTGCACCTTCACCCCCTCTGCTCCCTGTAAACTCACTATTTTCTTTTTCTC